TACTTCCGTAGTGATACTGCCTCGGAAACCCAAGGAGGGGTCGCTATGAGTCGGGTCTGACTCGACGGCACATAACAACAACAACAACAACAACAAGGTATATTTCATCATTGTTTCATATTTGTCGAATGCCTAAATACACAAGGCAGTGAGTTAAAACATATAATCCCAAACTATAAAAACCAAAGAAGCCTCCACTCAGGCTCAGTGACCTGGGGAGCTAAGTCAAGTGGCCCAACAAGATTTGACAGAGAAGGTCTAATGACTCTTTTCACAGGGTTGTGGGAAGTTGAGACAATATGTATTAGAGATAATTTTAGAATTTACTACACAAAAGCATCTTCTCTTTTAACAAAGAATTATTCCCTTTTCATTCACCCTTTCTCTTCATATTGTTGTTGTTACATGCCATCGAGTCAGACCTGACTCATAGCGACCCCTCCTTGGGTTTCCAAGGCAGTATCACTACGGAAGTTGATTGCCCAACCTGCAAGTTATAATCTTCACTGAGTCTCAGCTTTCTCATTTATGAACTAGACTGAAAATGCGTATTTCCCATCTTGCTGTGAAAGGTAAAATAAGTATAGGGGAAGGCAAGAGATTCTACATTTCTAAAAATAATCTTCCAGGTTAGGCTGATGCTGCTGGTCTATGGACCACACTTCAGGTAGTAAGGGCCTAACATTCAGAAGGCATGTGGTAGTTAAGGTTGTGTGTCAACTTGGTTGGGCCTGGATGAGTGGCTAGGCAGCTGGTGGTAGTTATTCCCCATGATAAGACTGGCAATCAACTCCATGATGGGATCTACCACAAGGAGCTGAGTAGCTGCTTTGGGATGTGGTTTGCTTCCCGTATATAAGCAGCAACTTTGGGAATGGTCTCTAGTATATGGCACACTTGAACTCTGCATGTAGCTGAGTCATTGTTCAGCAGCCTGCCATGCTCTGCCGATCTTGGGACTTTCAATGGACTTGAATCAAAAGCCTGCTGTGTTGTTTGGTAACATTGGGACTGTGCCATTTTATTTGTAGACCTTGGGCTTGGTGGCCTCAGCAGCAAATAGCTGCCTGAGTGAAGAGATGCCTCTAGCTTCAATGGGCCAGGAGCAAGAGGCAGAGCTGAAGCCCAAGGTCAAGGAGCTTTTACACAGTCCCTAGAGCCTAGAACTTGGAACTCAGAGTTCTAGCCTCCAAAAATTATAAGAATAAACTCCTGTTTCTTAAAACCATCCCACTTGTGGTATTTTCTGTTAGAGCAGCACAGAGGTAACCAGAACAGGCATTAAAAGATGTGAGCCTCCTCTTACTAATGAGATGTAATTTCCCACCATCCTGAAACAACAGTACTTCCTGTTATCTTCACCACGAAGAACAATTTCACCCAAAATTGAATGATACCATCCTATTACTTTCCAGAGGTCCTACTCTCCCATGATAAATAAATAAATAAATAAAGTTTGCCATAGGATAGAGGCCCAACTCTGGTTGCCCATGATAATCACATGGGAAACTGTAAAAAAATATAGATACCAGGGCTCTATGGTCAGAGATTCTTAATTGATGCCAGACCTAGGCATCTTTTCTTTTTTTTTTTAAAGATGCCTGGATGGCATTAATAGAAACTGAGACCAACTGTCCTACAGAATGCAATTACATACTCAACTGTCAAGTGGGATAATAAAATCTTTTAAAATTCTAAAATATAGAAATATTCAGGTTATATTAAATGAAATCTGCCAAGGTTACAATTTAATTCATTATAACCAGGATGCACATAAACCTAGTTGATTATATACACAAAAACATTTCACTGCAAAGTTATGAAGGAAGTACTTGTAGGACAAAGTTCCTACTACTAACACTTGGGCACACAGTGCTACTGAAAAAATAGTATTTTTAGGTAAAAACACTTCAGTAGAGCTAAAGTAAAAAATAATAAAATCTTTATGTGTACCCTCAGGGTTACAACATGGGCTTCATAGTCAAATATCACAGGAATTGGAAGCATTATGAGCAATATGATGGACCTTTATCTTCACCAGCTCACCAGTCCAATTAAATAGTTAAAAACACTTTTAGAAAGACCTCTTTGCTTACAAGCCTGCAGATGGGACTATATTTAAATAGTTCAAGGAAAGAACAGAGAATTAAAGCAGTAAATATTTATAATTGGAGCCCCTATGTAGGGGAAAAGTAAAAATTTCAGATTTTAACTTACAGAGATTGCCTACTTACATAGTTTTATGTATTTTATCTACAATCCATGTGCTAAATATAGACATTTAAGGACAACTAATAAGTGCCTAAGGCACTTGACTGCTAACCAGAAGGCTGGTGGTTCAAACCCACCAGCCACTCCTCAGAAGGAAGGTTGGGCAATCTACTTCCATAGAGATACTGCCTCGGAAACCCAAGGAGGGGTCATTATGAGTTGGGACTGACTCGACAACACATAACAACAACAAGTAAAGATATTGTATGTCAACAGTTTTCAACGTATGATCTCCAGATTAACAATGTCAGCACCATCTACAAACCTGTTAGAAATATAGATTATCAGGCCTCACCCCAAATCAACTAAAAAAAACTGGGAATATGGCCCAGAAAGCTGTGATTTAACCAGCTCTCCTGGTGATCCTAATGCCTACTTGTGTTTGAGAACTTCATCAGCCATTGTTGCACCAAACAGTGACTGCACCCAACTGCAAAGTGAAGGACTGGTGGTTCAAGGCCACCCAGAAGGGCCTCAAAAGAAAAGTCTGGAGATTTACCTCCAAAAAAATCAGCCATTGAGATCCAGTGAAACACAGTCTACTCTGGAATCGACTTCACAGCTGCTGGTTTGCTGCTGTTGTTGTTCTGCCTGCCATATTGACCAGTCCCTAAGCAGCACCATCATTTCTCTCTACATTTAACAGAAGACTACAATCTTAGATACTTTTGTTCTGGTTACCTAGTGCTGCTCTGACAAGAATATACCACAAATGCGATGGCTGAACAAACAGGAGTTTATTCTCTTCTAGTTTGCAGGCTTTAAGTCTGAGTTCAAACTGCCAGGCTCTAGGGGCTGGGTGAAAGCCCCTCAGCCTTGGGCTTCAGCTCTGCCTCCAGCCCCAGCATACTGAAGCTAGAGGCTTTTCTTCACTCAGACAGCTGCTGGCTGCTGAGGCTGCCAAGCCCAAGGTTGACAAGTAAAAAGGCACAGTCCCGATGTTACCAAACCACATGGCAGGCCATTCATTCAAGCCCACTGAAAGTCCCAAGGTCAGCAGAGCGTGGCAGGTTGCTGAACAATGACATGGCTACGTGCAGGGTTCAAGCGTGCCATAAGCTAAAGACCATTCCCCAAGGCTTCTCCTTATATACAGGAAGCAGACCACATCCCTAAGGCAGCTACTCAGCTGCTCACAGTAGATTCCACCATGGAGTTGATTACTAGTCTCATCACAGGGAATACTACATCCAGCTGCCCAGCCACTCAACTAGGCCCAGCCAAGTTGACACACAAATTTAACCACCATACCTTTACTGCCAAATATTCTCCAAAACCTGATTATGGCATAAAATGCCCATAGGAATTCAAATGACATTCAGGTTACTCATCCCTCTATATAATTTAAATTTCAGCCCTGAATGAAAGTCAGACAATCTGATACGTCAAATTTCAGGCATACTGTTCTGGCCTCTCATACATTTGCTGCTGTTGTTGTTATGTGCCATCAAGTCAGATCCGACTCATAGCGACCCCTCCTTGAGTGCTACTAAATAGCAAATTTTATGCCCTGAGCTTTCATTTTATAAACATGTGATGGCAGATACTGCCCATAAGATGCAATGCTCTAAAAGCAATTCCATTTGCAATAGCCACTCAGAAAATGAAATACTTAGGAATAAATCTAGCGAGACATGCAAAAGACCTATACAAAGAAAACTACAAAACACTATTACAAAACCAAAAGAGATGTACATAAATGGAAGAAATCACATGCTTACTGATAGGAAGAATGAACATTGTGAAAATATCAATTACTACCCAAAGCAATCTATATATATATAATGCAATCTCAATCCAGATTCCATCACCATTCTTTAGAGAGATTTAAAAAACTATCAACTTTATATGGAAATTAAACAGTCCTCAGATAAGCAATGCACTACTAAAGGAGAACAAGTAGGAAATCTCACACTCCCTGATTTTAAAACCTACTATACAGCTACAGTAGCCAAAACAGCCTGGCAGTCTGTAGAATGACAGACACATAGACAAATGGAACAGAATTGAAAACCTACAAGTAAATCCATCCACCTATGAACAGCTAATCTTTGACAAAGGCCTGAAACCCATTAAATGGGGAAGAGATAATCTTTTTATAAAATAATGCTGGCAAAACTGGATATCCATTTACAGAAAAATGAAACAAGATTCATATCTCTTACTATATAAAAAACTAAAGGAGCTCTGGTGGCGTAGTGCTTAAGGCATTTGACTGCTAACCAGAAGGTTGGTGGTTCAACTCCACCAGCCACTCTGCGGAAAGAAAACTGGGCAATCTACTTCCGTAAAGATTTACCACCTTGGAAACCCAAAAGAGGTTGCTATGGGTCAGAATCAACTTGATGACAGTGAGTTTGGTTTTTTTGGTTTATACAAAACTAACTCAGGATGGGTCAAAGACCTAAAAGTAAAACATAAACTGTAGACATCATCAAATTAAAAGTACGAGCAAACTTAAGGGCCCTAATACATGGTATAAGTACACTATCAAACATAACTAAAAATGCAGACAGCAGAAGACAAACAAGACAACTAGGACCTTCTAAAAATTAAACATTTATGTGCATCAAAAGACTTCACTGAAAGAGTAAAAAGTGAACCTACAGACCAGGGAATAAAATTAGCAGTGATATATCAGACATAGGACTAATCTCTAAAATTTATAGAAAACTTCAACACTTCAACAACAAAATGAACAATCTAATTTAAAAAATAGGCAAAGGACATGAACAGACACTTCACCAAAGAAGACATTCAGGTAGCTAACAAATAGATTAAAAAAATGCTGGAGATCATTAGCCATTAAGAGAGATGCCAATCAAAACAACAATATGATAATATCTCACTCCAACATTAATAACAAAATTAAAATAAAGGAAAAAAAAAGAAAAGCCGATGAGGGTGTGGAGAGACTGGAACCCTCATACACTGCTGGTGGCACTTTAGAATGATACCACTGTGAAAAATAGCATGGCACTTCCTTAAATAGTTGGAAATAGAAATGCCATATGGTCCAGCAATCCCACCAATCAGCAAATATCCTAGAGAAATAAGAGCTATGACGTGAACAGATATATACACAGCTATGCTCATCACAGCATTATTTACAATAGTAAAAAGATGAAAACGACCGAAGTGCCCATCAGTGGATGGAAAAACAAACTATGGTACATGCACATAATGGAATACCACACAATGTTAAAGAATAATGATGAATCAGCAAAACACCTCCTAACATGGATCAATCTGGAGGGCTTTATGCTGAGTAAAATTAGTCAATCACAAAAGGACAAATATTGCGTGAGCCCAACACAGTAAAAAGTCAAGAAAAGGTTTACACACAAAAAGAAACATTCTTTGAAGGTTACCAAGTGTAGGAGGGAAAGACAGGGTGAATCACTAACTAGAGGCTAGACACATATTAATAACTTGTTAAGGTAATAGACAATAAGAAGAGGTCAGTACAAAATAATCAAGGCAAAGGAAGACAATGGGAGGGACACAAAAGTTAAAGGTAAATATTATTACATACACAATCCTGCAATAACAGTAATAACAATAAACTACGAGGGAGTGTATAGATAGACATGCAAGCTGAACAGGTGTGGGAAGGCTCATGGGACTTCACCTACAACAATATGTAGGTTTGACAGAGGATACTTCTACATACGCATTTATATGTGCTGCAAATATATCCTATTCAAGGGGTAAAGTTATGAAAGCTTTTTAGCCATAACCAAACACCTTAAGGGATTGAGTCACTGGGTCTGGGAGCTCAGAAACATGGTCTCAAAGGACATCAAAGTCAAATGGCACAACACAGTCCACAAAGAACAATGTTCTACATTTTATTTTGATGAGTAGTGACTGGGGTCTTAAAAGCTCGTGAGCAGCCATGTATGTAAAGTGCAACTATTGGTCTCTCCCTTTTCCAAGCAAAGAAGAGTGAGAGAGGACTAATGTAACACATGAATCCCAACCTCCATGGCTCTAAGACCAGAAAAACTAGATGGTGCTCAGCTATCACTGTTGATCACTCTGAAAGAAAAATGTGAAACAAAAATCAAATTAAAAAAAAAAAAAAAAGAAGAACTAGGCTTACTAGTCTGATAGAGACTGATGGAACCTTAGAGACTATGGTCCTTAGATACCCTTCAAGCCTGGAACCAAATTCACCCCCGTGACTCAACTTTCAGTCAAACAGCAGACAGGTCTATAAGGTGAATAATAACACCAGGAGGTATGCAATCCTTGGAACAACTATACAAGATCAAAAGGGCAACATGTGCCCAGGAATAAAGCTCCAAAGGCGGACGGAATAGGATAGAAGGACAAATGGAAATGGAAAACCCAGGGAGATAGTGAAAAAATACTATATTACATTGTGAAGAGTACAATCAATGTCACAAAACAAAATATATAGGAATTGTAGAACAGACTGTAGTTCTATGACACTGTTTTCATGCCATGAAACCAGTAGATTTTTCCAGCTGAATTTACCTGTATGTCTCTTTTGTTTGGGCCACTGAAAAACTTAGAGCCAAATTTGCAACAAAATTCTGACTATGGGATTAGTGTAGTGCCTAAGGCACTTGACTGCTAACCAGAAGGGTGGCAGTTCAAACCCATCAGCCACTCCTTGGGAGGAAGGTTGAGCAATCTACTTCCATAGTGATACTGCCTCGGAAACCCAAGGAGGGGTCACTATGAGTCAGATCTGACTCAACAGCACATAACAACAACAACCTAAATCCATATTTAATCTAATTTTATTGTCGTATATTTTGGTTTCATTTCCTAATCTATATATTTTTTTTAGAAAAATCTTATTGTATTGCATGTGTTTGTGAATATGTGTGTGTGTGTGTATGAGTGTATATGTATATATATACACAAACTGCCTCAAAGCTAATCAAGAATATATGTATGTATGAATTACAAAACATATACAATGTGATAAATGCAGTTTTCTAAATGATATCATAAATTAACTTACCGTTTATCTTCAGGTTTTATAACAGATGGATCTGTCAAATTTTCTCCAACACCTAAAAAGAAGGAAAAAAAAATCATTTAGTAAATGGGGATTTCATTCTTTCAGAAATTCAAGAAAACATTAAACAAATTTTAATTTTGTTTTAAACTTATATTCACTCTGTAGTAAACTAAATATCATTTGGATTATATGTACTTTAAAAACCTTCCAACAGTGTTTGAATATTTTAGTTAAGTCACTAATTCCTGTAACCCTTTCTATTCTGCTGTAATAAACTCCCAGGCCATGAATGAATGTTTTAGTTGTGTGTTCACATTTATTAACAGTGGCTTCTGTCATTCATTAACCACTTGTATATACTGGACATTTTAATTTTATTTTCTGTAATCCTCAGCCATCAATAAAAGGAAAGTATGAGTATTCTCCTATCCTCATTTTACTGATGCATCCATTGATGTTCAAAGAGATTAATGAATCTGTTAGAGGTTGCATGGTTCATATACGGTCTTAACAGGATTAAATCTCACGCGGGCTGAGCGAAAGCTTGTTTTCCTCCCACTCCTCTGAGTCTCCCTAAGTGATTCCGTAAACTCAGCAAGGCGCAAGATGCTGTGCGGTTTTGCAGGTACAACCTCTGATCCATCAAAGGGACACATTAAATAGTTATCAATCTTTTCCCTAAGAAACTGACTTCCTTAGGAAAACAACCAGCTTAGACTTGTTAGGTGCTGTCAAGTCAGTTTCAACTCATAACAACAACAAAACAAAATCTGCCCAGTCCTGCACCATCCTCACACCATGTCTAAGCTATCACTGTGTCAACCCATCTCATTGAGAGGTTTTCAACAATTTTTTTTTTGGTGTCATGTACTCTTTTGTCAGTCTGGTGAATCTAAAGGATCCCCATCTCAAAATAACTCTTTAATGTGCACCACTTAAATATGTAGGATTACAAATGGAACCAATGATATTGAAATACAGTTATCACAATGCCTTTAAAGGTTTTATATTGCAATACCTGTGGTTCTTTATTAATACATTGAATAATAAGATTTAGCAGAGGTCTAATAACTAGTGTAACTTTTATGAAATGATCAATGTAAATAGTCTCTTGAGATATCTGCCACAATTAGAATGTGCTACGTTCTGTGCAACAACAACAACACAACGTTAATATCGGATTTTCTATTGCCAAGAGTCACAGGTACTACTAAGAGCACTGTGATTGCTTGTTTACATGTGTTGTTGTTGTTACATGCTGTCGAGTCAGACCTGACTCATAGAGACCCCTCCTTGGGTTTCCGAGGCGGTATCACTACAGAAATAGATTGCCCAACCTTCTTTCCAAGGAGTGGCTGGTGGGTTTGAACCACCAGCCTTCTGGTTAGCAGTCAAGTGCCTTGGGCACTATGCTACCAGAGCTCCATATATATTATGAAACAAAATGATGGATTTCAGTTACGGGTTAGTGAAAATAAAGATGTAATTTGTTTTCTCAACAAAGTTCAAAGACCCTATGAATTCTATCCAGGGACCCCCTTCAGAGTCCCTGTCTTAGAGTCTCTGTCCATTGATTCGAATGGAGAAAGGGAGAGCAAGGGCTGAAACACACGAGTGGGCGAGGAGGTGGGAAACAAAATTTGCTTTCTTGGTCTGCTCAGTTGGCCCTTACTCTTTCTTAAGAAAAAGATTATAGGAAATCTGGGCTATTTATGTTTTTTTCTTTCTCTTTTTTATTTTTTTTTAAATCATTTTAATTAGTACCAAAGTGAGTATACATATTCTACAATTTGCTTTTTCTATTTAAATTTTTATTTTGTATTGTGATTTTGCTTTACTCTCTGTACATATAAGAAGGAACAGCCTAGAGAGATCTTGCTTTTCTAACCATGCAATAAATAAACAGAACAACAGATAGAAAGATATACCAAGTATCATCAGCAGACAGACAAAAGTCTACAAATCCTTGAATATTTAAGCTCAGACCTAACTTTATGCCTGAAGTTTCCAGTAAGTATAAAAGTGTTAGGTCAATGTCTGAATAAACTAAAAATTTAAGATGGAAGCTCACATAGTAGTTAAACAGGTTACATCAGGTGGGAAAAGTGAAGTTTTGTAGGAAAAAAAAATCTTTCAAAATCACATCAGTCACTGAATTGTACATATAGAAACAATTGGTTAGTTTTGCTGTGTATGTTCTCAACAAGAACAAAATAAATAAAACATTTTAAAAAAGTCACACTAGTTACTTTAAATCTTGTTGCTTGTTAAAGAGGCAAAAGTCAAATGATCTGAGCGTCATTCCTGGCTCCATCACTTGCTAGCTGGGTGATCTTGCATAACTTTCTTAATCTCTCTGAATTTCAATTTTGTTGTCTGGAAAGCATGAATAATAATGGGACTTATAGGGTTACTGAGAGGATTAAATGAAGTATACAAAGTGCTTAGCAAAGCATCTCACCAAACAGAAGCTAAAAATTCTAACTGCCAGTATTATTATTCTTATTCTGTCAAGGATCTCTAGTGAGGTAAAATTTTATTCTCTTACCACTGGTAAAATCATGTTTCTGATCATCTCGTTTCCTAAAGTAAAACTTGTGAGAGCTGGCACGTGATGGGACTGCTTCATTTTTCCACATCTTGCAAGTTTTCCATCTTTGACAGGGTGCTGTCTTACAGTTTTCTATTGCTCTCTATCAGTGGAAAATATTTGAGTTTTCCTTTTCTGGCAGGTTTCCGCCTTACACAGGGACCAACTTTTGTAGGTTTTACTGTACTGTGTTTCCTAATGAATACAAAAACCCAATCCAACCATGTTGCCATCCAGTCAATTCTGACTCATAGTGACCCTACAGGACAGTGTAGAACCGCCCTGTGGGGCTTCCAAGGCTATAATCTTTATGAAAGCAAACTGTCCCTTTCCTTCATGGATAGTGGGTTTGAATAACTGACTTTTCTACCTTTCAGATAGAGCTTAACTAATGCACCACCAGGGCTTCTCCTAGTGAATAAAACCCCTCCATAGGAATCAGAATAAAAGCAACCACAGAATTTTATAGTGCTACAGACAGCGTACCTAAACTGAACTTGGCATTTCAAAGAATAACCAATGAATTCATATTTCGGGTCTGCAAGTGGCAGAAATGCATTCCAATTTGTGAAAAATAGAGTGACCCAGAGTATACACAGCAACCATCAGCACTCATGGGGTTATACTGCCATCCCACCCCGTCCCACCCCCTACCTCTCAGAAACTCAAGAATCACTCCACTGGCAAACTTTATCATCAAAGCCCACTCTACCTGCATAGTCTCCTAGATATTTGGGAAATATGAAAGAAATTAAGACATTTTGACATCTAGCAATCCCAAGGATATCTCTTTAGCAGTTTTAACAGGGTAAATGTCAATAAACAGGTGATATGTTTATGCCCTTGTGAGAAATTCAGAGCTTTACATCCTGATCCCAACAACTATGGAGATACATCAATGAACTGCATCCTCTATAGCAGCAGAATCAATGCTGATGCTGTGGATGCTAATGCTGACTTCTTCTGGAAATTGCTTTTTGCATCAAAAAAATCAGTATCTCCAAAAGTTCTTTGAAAAATAAAATGAGCTTAAAAAGAAAAGAATGTCACAGAGCCAATAATAATTTAAATGCAACTGTTTTTAATTCCCATTGCTGATAATTAAATGTTGGATTTCAAGTGTAATGATGAGTCAGTTCCTCATGGTTTGGACTTTTTAATGGAAAGAGACTGAAAGCTACAGTATAATTACCAATGACAGGAACTTAGTCAAGCCTGTCCTCAGAGTTCCCCTTCCTGGCCTGGTGTGGCAATGCCTGGGTTAATAACTGGCACCTCCTTGGAAGCAAGCAAAAAAGGAGAAGAAACAGAAGGAATAAACTGTCCAAGTGTTTCTTCCACCATCTTTCACTTCAAAGTATTAAGGAGCCAGCACCAGCTGATCAGAGCCCCATTGTTTAGAGGCAGATGCTGGGGTCCCCCAGCAGTAGCTCCAGGACCACACTGCAAAGGGTAATATCTTCACAGCTGAAGATTAAGCTTCATTTTGAAGACCCATACAGACATTAATAAAAACAAAAATAATGTTTACTGAGGGCCTATTATGTGCCAGGAACTCATTTCAGCCCCTTAATTGCTCTATAGGAGTCCTGGGGTGATGTAAATGGTTAAGCACATGGCTGCTAAGCAAAAGATTGGAGGCTCAAGTCCACCCAGAGACACCCAAGAAAAGCCTGGCGACCTACTTCCAAAAAACCAGCCATTGAAAATGCTATGGAATGGCTCATAGTCACCCTTTGGGCCTGGAATTGAACTCACTCCTATTGGAGGCTCAATTTCCCACCAAACGATAGGCAGGCCTATCACATGAACAATTACACCAGGGAGGTAAGCACTCCTTAGAATAATCAACCAGAAGATATTAAAAGAGCATCATTTGTATAAGGATAAAGCCCAGAAGGCAGGAATGTAAAGAGGGTTGCTGGGAACGGGGATATAGGGAGGAAGTAGGAAGAGATCTGTTACGTTGTGGGGATTGCAATAATGTCACAAAATAAAATGTGTATAAACCATTGAATGGAAAACCAATTTGGTCTGTAAACTTCACCAAATCTCAATAAAAGTTAAATAAATAAGAAAGAAAGAAAGCACTATGGAGCACAATTATACTCCAACACACAGGGATCACCAGGAGTTGGACTCGACTCCACAGCAACTGGTTGTTTTTGTTTGTTTGTTTGTTTGTTTCAATAAGAACTCCATGAGATAGGTGCATAATATTATTTCCCTGTTTGCAGATGAGAAAAGTGGGACCAAAGGTGGTCGCCCACAGCCACAGAGTTAATTCATAGAGGAACCAGGAATCAGACCCAGGCACTACAACCCCAGAGCACCCTCTCCCCTAACTGCTACTTCTTAGCCTCTTAATCTCCAATCCTCACCTCCCAGACAATGTTCATCAACTCTCCAAGGACTGGAAAGACAAATAATTTAGTATAATACATAACTGAACCAAAGACCCCTAAAAGATTTTAAAAATACATAACCATATTTTCCCCATTTTTTTCTTTCCAATCTGGTTTGGATTAAGTATGGTAATGCACATAAGCCTTTAGCCAAGGTCCTGGCAAAAATAAGCACTCAGTAAATGCTAGCTATTATTATTATTAGCATTGTTATAAATGCTTATAATTACTACTATACTTTTCATGGCCTTCCATTAACTCAGGCCTAAAAATTGGCTTACACTCTCCGATAAGCATCTCAACTTCTTCCGTCCATTCTATGACGGCCACTCTTCCCTTCTTTGAAGGTCAATGTTTTGATGGAGTTTATTTGGAATGACCTATTTCTGCAATTGACATAATTGCCCACTAAAAGAATAAAGTTAATTCCCTTTTTCCCCCAAGACTATCAACACAGTGTTCTGTTTAATGTCACTTTGGATTACTAAGAGACATAAAAATCCCCAAACATAAACATCATTAAACAAAAAACTATTCAAGTGGAATACAAAACACACTGAAGAGTCATCATTAATTCCTTAAAGTTTTTCTTTGATTGTTTTTTCTGTTTCTGTTTTTGCTTTTTAAACAACTCCACCCAAAACTCAAAACACAAGACTCAAGTACAGATGCAAGCAATCAGCGTCTCCCCAACTTGAGCTCCAGAAACAGATGCTTTGGGCATCGGGACTCTGGGTTTCTATGGATCAAGTACTCGCTGGCGTAAAAGCTCAATCATGTTGGTTGTTTTTACTTTGTTTATACTGCTTCCTAAAATATTGTGGTTGAGGGTTAGAATTATCATTCAACTCGGTGAACAGCAGCAGTCTAAAAGGACAGAAATTCTTACACATAGTTTTAAAGTGTATATGCGTCTTTGAGCATGTGGCACAAATTTCAATCAGGATTTTGCAGTCTTTCTGGGCACAGCTAACAATGCTGTGGGAATGCCTATTTATCTCAGCTTCCCTCAATCTCCAAGACTTGCTTTCAGCATAAAATCCCAAAATGGGAGAGCTGGAAAAGTCAGAGAGGACAGGAAAAAGGCCTGAATTGTTTAAATGAACCACAACACGGCTCTGTCCTATAAGTGTGATACTTAAAGAAATGAAAGATGGTGTGGTGAAAAGGAAAGAACATGGATGGCCAAACCAGCTTAAAGGGTGCATTCAGCTTCCCCCATAAGTAGCTGTGCAACCTTGGGCTAGTTATTTAAACTTTCTGGGCCTAAATTCCCCATAATATCTACCTTGAGGTGCTGCTTCTGGGATTAAACGAGATAACTTATATGAAAGTTCCTGGGCTTAAATCCCTTATTTAAAACCAAAGTCTCCATCAGTGAGCCCAAGGACTAAACTTTGACCTTAATACATATTTCGTTCTGTCCCTGCAAGGAAAGCCTGCCAGAGATACTCTGTTTTGTGCTGCAGGATTATAAATCACATGTGAGGTGTTGATAGCAGGGAGATGTACTGATCAAAAGCTTCCATTAAATGAGAGTGTCCTGTGCTGCCTCTCTCAGACCAAGTGTGTACTTTCATGAACTGTCATATCAAGGCACACAGCAAAGAAGCTAAATTATAAATTGCAAAAGCAATGGCCTCAAAAATCCCAAATATTGCCCAGAACTTAAACATTCTTGTGTGTAAAAATGAATACTTAAGTTTTCATTGTGCCCGTAAGACCAAGGTAATGCCACAAAACAGGAAAATTTGTTACAAAAGTCATTCCCCATTTGTTGTTGTTGTTGTTATATGCCGTCAAGTCATACCCGACTCATAGCGATCCCTCCTTGGGTTTCTGAGGCAGTATCACGGAAGTAGATTGCCCAAGCTTCCTTCCGAGGAGTGGCTGGTGGGTTTGAACCGCCAGTCGTCTGGTTAGCAGGCAAGTGTCTTAGCCACTATGCTACCAGAGCTCCCATTTAGGTCAATGTTTTTCTTATTGTTGTTCTTGTCTGGTGCCATTCAGTCAATTATGACTCATACCAACCCCATATAACAGAGTAAAATTGCCACATAGGGTTTTCTAGGCTATAATCTTTACAGAACCAGATTGCCAGGTCTTCCTCCTACAGAACCACTGGGTGATTTGAACCACCAACCTTTCAGTTAACAGCGAAACACTTGACCATTGTACCACCAACTCAATGTTTTGGATATCTATAAATTTCAAGCAGCTAGTCATCTGCCTATATTTTTCCCTTTATCTAGTAGAAACAGCATGGTATGTGTCTGTGATCATACTGTACAGTGGTCCCACCTCCCTTCAAAATAAATGGCCCCACCCCTTTAAAGCTGGATAGAGCAACTCTATGCCTTGCTCTTCTTAGTTCTTGCAAGATCTCTTGGACAACTATCTGTTGACCCCACTTAGAACAGCTTCAAAAATAACAAATGTATTCTGAAAACCAGTGCCATCTTTCAATTTTCAAGTGATAAGCAAAGCAAATAAAAAGAAAACCAATCATACAGGGCTGTTTCTACTAAAAGACTTCAACTATGGTCTTAAGAAAAGAAAGAGCCAGTGTGTTTTGTGAGGCCAAATGTATAAGATGATGGCATCAAAAAAGCCTTTCTGACTCAATGTTTCCTAAACTCTGCCTTGTGTTGCCTGTACCAAGTTCTATGTCATCAATCACCTTGCAGATCTAAAACCAGCAACTCTCCTCGGGTGTACTCATAAGTCCAGTGAGAGAAAGCCAACATGAGTTCCTCCAAGATGTTGTTGGGTGCAATTTCATCACCGTTGTTGTTGTTGTACTTGCGGAACTCTCCTGTCATATACTTCTCAATGGTCAACCATTGGTTAGCTGAATGGCAGTAAATTAAGAAAACTTCCAGGAACCTGTGATGGAAAAGGAGACCATGGATCTTCACAAGGCAGCAAACGTGGGACTTAGATTACTGAACAGTCAACTCCAGGTAAGATTCCCTAACACTGGTCTGGTTCAGGCTCAATGCGCATGCCCTTGCTCTTTCCATAAAAAAGACAAAACACAAAGATTGGGAGTTTTTTTTCCCATGCTTATCCCCTTCCCTTCCCTTTGAGGAAACTTTCCAACTCTTTGACAAGTACCAGACCCAACTTTTCTTGCCATGCTTTATAAAATTCTTTCAAATGAAACATTAAAACCTTACTATAAGTCTCCAGCACCAAGTTATGATATGTCTGGATAAAGAAATACAAATGTATTATGACACTCAAGTGCAAGTAACAAAGGTTAATTCTTACAAAGCTTCAACTTTCCTTGAGATATTGGGGAAGAAGTTATGCCTAATATAGAAACACTTTTATTTCATTACGTTCCTTCTCATTAGTAACTACACCAAGGATCAACTTGGTTAGCATAACTGGCATGTTAATCATGGCCTCTCCCAGAACTTCTCTTTTCCACTCATACAAGTTCAATGAATTAAGACAAGTCACCCCTGGGACATCTAATTTTCTATTTACTAGTCTCCAGAGCTATGTAAGGAAGAACCCAAAAATAAGATCATGGGGAACCTTCCCATGAACTTGAGCATTTCTCATGACTAATAAGGCTGAAAAGAGATTGATGGGAATTCCTGTGTAAGGACCTGAATACCAGAATTTCCTTACCTTGGTGTGTAGGGAATAGTTTGTGGTTTCACTTGGTTGAAGGTATAAATCAGTTTCTGAGCAGCTCTTTGTTGTTGAATTTCCTGCAGGAGCATTTATTAAAAAAAATATATATATACTGGTTTATTACCACATGCCGACTAATTAATGACCATAAATTACTAGAGGTTTCCCAAATGTGATTTTCAGCCTTATTCAGCTCCCACCATGCTTCATACCAAAAGCAAAAGCCCTATATAAAAATAAATAAATAAAAATACCTCCAAAAAATAATAGGCTACCTAACAACAATAACAAACCTTTGGGTTTGGGGCAATGGCCTTAGACAGGATGTAGCCAGCTCTCCTTTCTCTGACCTGTCTAACTCTGCTCTTATTCTCTGAGTTTCAGGCTTACCCTGAGGCAAAGATGAAGCACAGTACTCTCCCGGAAGATTTTATGCCATGTCTGTACAACCTCGGGAAGAAAGGACTTCACAATGAAAACCTGTCCGGGCTTGAGAACGTCATCCTCAGACCAGGTGCTGATGACTTTCATGGCTTTGCGGAGGCCGCCATCCATCTCCTCTCGGGACAACACCTGGATCATGGCCACTCTTCCACGCTGGGACCAAGAGGACATGCTTTTATCAAGATTCAAAGGGGAACTCTCCTCAAGCCTGTAGACAGTCACTTCTTCTCCTGCTGCAAAAAGAAGTGAAGATGTGGAGTTAAATGTGATGACCAAGTCCAAGACATGAAGGCCACTCTAAATATAAAGTCAAAGTCAGCTCAGTTTTTCAAGTTATCAAAGGAGAACGAGAAGTGGACCTAACCGGGATTAGGGCAGAATAAGAGCATGGATCTGTGAGACAAAGCAACAGAGGATGTAAAGAATAAGTTGTGCTTATTGTAGACTATAACTGTAGACAATAATATAATCAAAGTATTAGAGGACAATATTTCTTTTGTTAAAGAAATTCTTCTAAAAAGAAAGTTCATTATCATCTCTCTAGGGAACCTACTTATTCAAACATTATTTCATGATTGTCCCCCATGAAATTTTAATACTATGGATATTTTGTATGTCTTTTTATGTGCTATATGTACAGTTGTGCTTTATACATAAAAAGTATTTTTGCCCCCTTAAGAGTGAATTACCCTCATTGAGAATGAATAATTTAACACAGAGTCAGACATTACCAGGGTCATAATCCTGTCCTCTCCTACCTATCTATGTACCTTTGGGCAAGTTACTTAAAACCTCAATTGCCCCATCAGTAAAATGGGGGGTAAAAATAACACATCACTGGGTTGTTGTAAAAATTAAATACATTAATGTAGCTAAAGTGAACTAGAACCTCAAATACAAACTCAATCCCACTAAAAAGATTTTGAGTAAAAAATGCTATTTAATTGCTGTACAGCTTCCACTTCTAGGCTGGTAAAGAGGGAGCAATTCTAATCCAGCCTGTTGTTGTTGTTGTTATGTGCCATTGAGTCATACCTGACTCATAGTGACCCAACCTTCCTTCCAAGGAGTGGCTGGTGGGTTTGAACCACTAGCCTTCTGGTTAGCAGTCAAGTGCCTTAGGCACTACACTACCAGAGCTCCTGTAATTCAGCCTAGACTCCACCTAATACAGTGCTTGATGCTTCAAATCAGAAGTACCATACTACATACAGTTTCTGTGGAGCTTGTTTCATTTTCTCCTTACGCCTCTGCATCAAATGGCTTTTTGTGACCACTGTATGGGTTTACCAAAGAAAGACTCCATTCACTTCCTTTTGCATTTAATTGCATATCAAAAAAATATGTCCAGGTAATGCTTAGTAGGGAGCAGCGGTTGTTCAGTGATAGAATTCTCATCTTCCATGTAGAAGACCCAGCCAGGTTAAATTCCCAGCAGATTCACCTCAAGCACAGCCACCATCCATCAGTGGAGGCATGCACTGGCTATGATGCTGAGTGGGTTTCAGTGGTGTTTCCAGACCAAGAAAGACTAAGAAGAAAGGCCTGGTTATCTACTTATGAAAAACCAACCAATGAAAACTCTATGGGTCACAAGAGTCTAGTTCTGTTGTGCATGGGGTCACCATAAGTCAGAAACCGACTCAGTGACAGCTAATATAAGCAACAACACGCTTGGTAACATACTTTCAATTATTTATTCTTGGTGCCCAAATAAATATCACTAAAAATCTCTTTAGAGTTTAAATACCTAGAGGATTTGAAGTAAGATAGTAATAGACAAAATCAGCTATGGAGAAAAGTGAAAGGAGAAGCATTTGCATTAAAGACCAGAAGCCAACCTGATCTGTGCCCTGTAAGTGGTCTAAGGGATGAAGACCTAGAGGAGTGAAGGGACCCTCATTATATTATCAATTGGCTCACGCTTTATACTGCAGGGCAGAGAAACTCTGGTAGCAGTGTCAGATTAACCAATAAGCAAGGTAAGCATAGATTGACTTGTGTTTACTATACTAATCTACAGTGAGAAATTTCACATTTTTTTTTTTTTTCACCACATCAAAGATTCTGCTTTTAGGTATGGGTGGCGTCTGTTTTTCTCCCAAACCCACAGCACCTTCTTACAGAATCAAAGCCTCTTTTCAAATTTACGCTCCTTGAGAGGGACAAAGTACGAGGTAAGCAAGGTAAGCATGGGCTTACTTGTGCTTACTTATTAATCCATAGTGAACAGTTTTCATAGTTTTCACCACATCTGTGGTGGAAAAAGAAAGAAAGAAAGAAAGAAACTGTTCACTATAGTAAGCACAAGTACTCCCGTGCTTACCTTGCTTAATTGGGTAATCCACCCCCATCTTGTAGCCTGGACTAATATAGGCTTGTTTTTCTTTACTACTTCAGCCTTTAAAAATGACATTTGCTTTCTGAGCTAAGAGCAATTAGTGGATATGGAACAAAACAAACAAATAAGAAAATAATATACAAAGCATTTCTCTTCAGATGGCTGTTGGCTTTTGCCATATTAACATTGATCGCTTCCTTCTGTGTTTATTGCATGGGTGGCTTGTTCCTTTCTTTCCGACTTATTTCCAGTCTTGAATCGGTGAATGCCAGGTGCAGCATTATTTCTTTCTTCACAACAGCTGCTCAGTAGAGGTTCCCATCCCATAGTGTTAGATTTAGATGGTAGATGTCGGCCACGGCAGTTAATAAGAGTTTCCATTTTCAGAAATTAATCTCACTAAACCATAACCACCAGCAAAACAAAGTTTTCAACTGAGATGATGCAAATTAGGTTTTCTTTTGATTTAATTAAATGTTATTATGACTCTGTCCTAGCACAGCCTCAAGAAGTTAGAAATGGCACTCACCAAACAGTTGGATTGGTGTAAATGGTATGGTCTGTGAAAGCCTCATTAAATTGTTCCTTTCAATGGCTGCAAACAAAAACAGATTTACTTAAAAGTGATGGAAAAATGTGGAAACGGATAGTGGTGATGGTTGCACAACACAATGAATAAAATTAACAGAAATGTCAAAGGTTTTGTTTTATATATGTACACACACACACATAAAAAGATTTACTATTTTAATTAGGTTAAAATTACAAAAACCTCATGAACATCATATAGTCATATAATGCTAAAATATTTAATTTCGAAGACCCATTATTTTTGTCCTTATCAATATTATTTGTGATACAGTTTAATAATAATATTTTGATATTTTGATAATTTTGATGTCTTATATAGGAACAGGTTATGATGTTACATAACATGGTCTGAAGCAGGACTATCACCTCTACTCTCCTGAAAACCAAGTTTATATTAATCCATGCATACTTGGAACTTTCATTTGAATGGCCTTTTAATCTGCGGTCTTCTTTGATTTTCCTTTTCCAGAGCAAATCTAATGCACAGTGGACTGTGGGGACATCTACTGTTGACTTTGCATAGTTCACCTTCATTTCCCAGAGAGAGCTGAAGATCAGTTTTAATTAGGAGCAAGTGGTTTGCGTTTTCCTATTAAGAGCCCTATCACAGCAGATCAGAGTCAATATGAGTTACAGTATTCTTCACCATGGACTTTCTTACACTGAAAACTGTAGTCAAAATAATAGATTACTGCTGAGCTGAAAGACACAGTTTAAGAGCTTGGAATGAGGAGTTGAGAGTCCACAGAAACACAATTCACTACTAAGGAGAATTCAGTATCAGGCAGTCTCACTGGACCCTAACCAAATGAGCTTAATATACTAACATACTAATAATGGTAATTATAGCACCAATAAGCTCTTACCCTTGTACTGAACTTTAGACAGTGTGAAAGGCTTGCCCATGTATTATCTTACCCAATTTTGAGAGCAACAACTCCCTACAGACCACCCAATGGCATGAGTCCAGTTGGTTCTTATATTGCTTTGCATTTCTAAGTGTTTTCCTCTTATTTCTCAACTAGCCCTTTGGCAGACTGTTCCTCAGGAAGAGCAAGGCAATTATTCCCACTTTGAAAGAAAGACAACTGAAGCACTATAAAGTGATGTTGCTCAAGCAAGTCAAGACCCTTGACATCTTTGTTTAATAACATCTTTGTAAAATGTCTTTGTTGATGTTACTCTATGGGTTTGGCATTCATTCAATGGTCATGTTCACAGAAAGCCCAGTTCAAAGAACTAGTTTCAGGCCTCTGTCTTCCCCAACCAAAAATACTGAGAGTGTTTGGACTATCTTTGCACTTGTAAGGAATCTTCAGATCTCAGGGTCATCTGTATCCTTCCCAATTTGAAATTTGCCTAGACAGCCATTTAAAAATACATATATATAACCTATTTCTCTTAAAACATAATAACTTCTTTTTCCCAATCAATGGCAAGGTAAGAAATTTGAATGTTTTTCCCATCAGGACGAACCACAACTCTTCAAGCATGGAGCCACAGCAATATTATAGAATTCATCAATGTCTCTGTTTGCAAATGCAGAATCACAGATGTTTGGCTCAGCTGACATGTCTATGTGCACATGCATCCTACCTGAATAATGATGGTGAGGCTCTTGAGGGCTTTTTAAGGAAGCTGAGATTTCTGAAATTATAAAGAAGATTGGCATTTTAATTACTTGGCTGGAGATAAATACATGCTTATGAGTATATTGCTTTCAAAGTTATTATTGAACAGGTTAATCAGAATGGCTTCTCAGTATTTGAAAAAGATTGCCTAATATTCTTTAACCACATTATTGCTTATGGTATCCTGACAGCTTCCAATCAACAATGTAATATCTCCAAACATATTTATATAGGGAATTGAAGAAAGACAGGTAATATTAGCCTCAAAGATGTATTTCCTCTGAACCAATTATACCTCTGTGTTGCGGAAAGCACTCAGCTGCCCATCACACTTCATGACATCCCAAAAGCACAATTCTCTGAGCTCCCTACCAAGATAGAGTACTCATATAAACACATTATTAATACTAAGTTATTCGCAGACTACTTCACTGGCCTAAAATAACAACAAAATGATGACAACACATTAAAAGGTGTATGCCAGAACAAAGGAGGGAGGGACTAATATAACACCAAGGGATTTATTTGGCTACAGGGAAGTGTGTGTTTAACTGGTTCTCTTCTATCTTCTCAAGTCCTAAATTACAAGGCTTCAGAGAAACCCTCTGCAACAATTTTGCCATTTCATAAAAGCAAATTAAAGTGGAGATCTTCAGTCTCATGATAGCAACTGCTTTATACCTAGTAGAATAAACAACATAATGTGCCTAGTTTCACTAATGTCTCAGGCTTCTTGTTGCTGCATAAGTAAGGGAACAAGAATCACCTCCTTTGGGGGTGGCTAGTAAAAAGTAAGATCAGCAGAAAAGACTCTTTCTTTCTGAATTCATTCAATAATCCAAAAAACAAAAAAATTCTGCTTCCACTATGGGTCATCTAGGCATAAGAAGTATAATGAAGGCATGGCACCCATCCTAGTTTAAAAAAAGACATACTGGCAGAGAGAAACATATAAACTATAATCACAATAGGGTTTGCTAAGTAATGTAATAGAGGTATATACAAAAGTTATGGAACATACCAATTCCATTTAGGCAATAGGGCCTCCATACACAAACAGTGTGAAATATTTCAAAAGTAAGGGCATATGAGACTGAAAAAGCTGGGTTTCACCTGGCTTCACCATTTAAGGAGCTGTTCACACTCATTCAATACCTATTTATTGAACACTTACTATGTTCCAGCACTGTTCTATGCTTGAGGGAAAGAGCAATAATCAAAACAGATAAAGTCTCTGTCTACATCCTAGTAAAGAGAAGTAGAAACTGAATGATGGGCAAGTAAAAATGTTGTTTATTTAATACACAGTAGAGTGCATATGCCAGGTTAAGTGGGTCAGGAATTGTGGAGACAGGGTGGTTGTTATTTTACGTATGGTGGTTAGGCAAGCCTCTCTGATTAAGTAAAATCTGAGCACAGAGCTAACAAATGAAGAGGTAACAGGAAGTGCAAATACCCTGAGACAGGGACATGCTTCCCATATTTAAGGAAGACCATGTGGCCAGGTTGAAGTCAGTAGAAAGGAAGTGAAGTTGGAGAGTTGTGAGGGAGCAGATCAATAGAGGCTTATAGATAGTTTTTGCACTTCACTTTTACAGAGTTTAAAAGGATTACTCAGGCTGCTTTTGGGAAATAAGACCATTAGACAGCAATAGTTTGGATGTCAGACTATAATACAGGGGAGAGATGGTGATGACTTACAACATGGTGTAATGGTGGAGATAGCAAAGTGGTCAAATTCTTGATGTATTTTAAGGGATTTTCTAATGGATTGGATGCATGATTGTGAGAAAATGAGAGTCAAACATGATTTCAAGACTGGTCTCACAACTAGAAGGACGGAGTTGCCATTTTCTGAGACGTGGGAGAAGACAGACAGGACATTTTGTTTAAAATGCCTTGACAGCCACATGAGGTAATAGTAGGTGGTTGGCCACATTCTGTATGCCAGAAATATCAGAAGCATGAAAGAGATCATGCTGGAAACTTGGACGGGAGCCTGACAGTCCAAAGCACTAAGAAAGACTCAAGGATCTAGAAGTAATGGGGAGCCATTAAAGGTTTGGGGTAGAATGGAGTTAGAAGGCAAGACTGCCAACAAAAAGTGGTCATATGGGAAGGGAACTTTTAATGACTGAGAACTGTAAAGGAAGAGGAGGAATCAGAGAGACCAAGAGCAAGTCAACAAACAAAAGGCAATCATGGAAGATCAGCTGATAGAAACAGAAAGGAGAGAATGTCAAGAAGGACAAAATAATCAACATCAAATGCCCCAAGTTAGATGAGACTGTAAAGAAGTCATGATTTGGCAGTCAGAGTGGAGTTTCAGTAGCGTGTTGGAGACAGAAATCATGGGCAATGAACTGAAGACCAACCATCAATACTCTTAATTAATGTGAGAGGGAGGGATGGAGTGGAAATTTGAAAGCCAAGTGCAGTGTAGTAAATTACCTGGTATGGCTTTTCTAGCCATAAGCCTTTGTAAACTCAGTGGTGGAATTTGCCATGAGCAACTGAGGAGCTCCTGATTGTAAATGTTATCCACCTGGGGTATTTCTATTGGGCGTGGCACAAAGCCATGTTCTGGGAGGTTCACTCTCTCTCAGGTGCTTAGAGTTCTGATGTTATGATTGGCTAGTTTGGCCACTCCGCCAGGCTCAAAAGGAGGCCTCCTAGAGGCAGAACTCTCTCTGACCTCTGGGTGAGGAAGACATTTTGCTGAGAGAAAGAGACACCAAGAGACATGCACTGCTGAGAAAGAGACACTGAGAAACACGCATTGCTGGGAGAGAGACTGAGAGAGACTGTTGGGTGAGAGACAGCAGGCTGGGAGAGAGACTGAACGTTGTTCCTGAACTTGAATTGTAAGTTGGTGCTTCCCTAATAAACCCCATAATCTGTGAGTTCTCTGTGGCCACTGCAGTGAATTATTGAACCCAGCAGATAGGCTTTGGGTGCTGCGGGAGGAACGGCTGGTATAAGGGCTGGAGGGAGGCAGCATGTCTGGCCCCACAGGAATGGGCCTTGGGCTGCTGATGGTGATTCTGTCTTCCTCTTGTGGGGTTACAGGAGGTCAGGAGATGTGGCCTCCTTGCCCCTTTAGCACCAGGTAAAATCAAGATTTTTTATATTTTCTTTTGGATACAACTGTGTTTTTAGGCTGAGAAGAAGAAATCAACTGCAAAGAAGATACTGAAAACCTGGAAATGTGGGGTGAAACAAGCTACTAGAAGAAAAATGTATCCACTCTGCAATAGATGAGTCAAGAATGTGTAAAGGCACATGTAGACTCTGGTGAAGTTTGAGACTAGCTAGTGAGAGGGGCTTTGCTAAGGCATGTGTCACATAACTTAGGTCCCTACTAAGCCATGTTGGGCATCGAGTTCTATTGAAACTATACAGGTATCTGCACACATTCTCATGAATAGCTCAGAATCAACAATATGTAAACAAACAACAGTCAGAGTTGTAAACGGTGGAAATGAACTCAGTGCTTATGCTCTCAGAAATAA